GTGTGGTTTGAAAAGAATATCAGTGAGAGGGGACATGTATGAAGCAATTGTTTGACATTCTTAGCTTTGTGAAAATGCAACACTCAATACTCTCGTGCCAATTCCTCATAATCATATCCAAAAGATTGTCTGCCAAGTAGTCTGCGGAACATATTTTGGAGAGTTTGTTTTACGAGACGCGGATTTTTGGCTTTGGGAGCATATGCTCTGTAAATAAATTTTAAAAATTCTGATTTTTTTTAGATGTTCATATTAGTGTGGCAAGTGCGCTTGACAAGTCTCATGCCATATGAGATAGCAGTGCTTTGTCGGTGAAAAAAAACAAAATTAAGTGTAACATTTGGCGTTCGATTTGTTTTTTTGCACAAGTCAAAATGCTTAACTTTTTCACTAACAAAATTGCATGTACCATTTGGGTGCGACAATGAACATATCTATTTTTTTCAAAAAAAATCATTTGTAAAAATTCATTTTTAGCATGCAGGATCATGTACTCCCTAGAGCCAAATTGAATATCCGCCTTTTATGCTGGTATATATTGAATTTATGGTAACTTACCACATAGGGCATGTATCATATATAGTTTTTTTAGAAGATCTTTTCGATAGTTCTAAATTTAAACAAATCAAAGAATATCTAGAAGCAAATTTTCCAAGTAAAGTTCTCCAAAATTTCCATGAAATTGCTTTGAATCAAAAGGGCATGGACTTGTGATCGAACATACTGTCGCCAGTATCACTAGGACAAGCGGAAATCAAGATCAAAATACTCGCAAAGCAGCAGGATCACCATCGACGTTCGCCATGATCTCCTCTTCGAGCCTCTTGGCGACGCCATGCGCGAGCTTCTCCAGGAAACCCACGAAGCCTTCCAGCGTCCACCCCTCGACGGGATCGGCCTCGAACGACCACCTGACCGCGCACCCGGCCGGGTCGGGCTCCACGCCGATGGTCGCCCGGTACCGGCCGAACCCCTTGTTGGTCTCCACCACCTCGTAGCTGTAGGACCGCCCCGCGGCGTCGACCTCGAGGAGCCGCTCCTTGGACCAGCCGACCGCCTCCCCCGGCGCCGCCATGTTCACCGGCCCCGCGCAGTACCGGACGCACCCGGGCCGGCCGTCGTCGCCCTCCAGCCTCCGGCACGTCTGCACCAGCGACACCCACTTGTCGAGGGAGCAGAAGTCTCCCAGCAGGGCCCACGCCTGGTCGGGCGTCGGCCCCGCCGCCGCGGCGCGCACGGTGCCGCGCCACTCGGGCGCCGCCGTTTCACTGTCCGGGCCGTGACCGTGAGGCGCCATGTGCCGGCGCCTGGGCAGCTAGATCGCGGGTGTCGCCGTCAGGTGCGTGATTCGTGCAAGTGCAACGTCGGGATCGTGGTGAATATGATGAGGAACTGAGGGTCACGACTCGTGAGGGAGAGGAGGGGGCGTCTAGCTCACCAGCCGTGTAGTAGATACACAACGTGACCCGCGAGAGGATTAGTTGGCAGGTCGTACGTCCAACCGCATGCGTGTCCAGTGGCGGACTGGTGGAAACTGCTGGGTGCCTCCTACCAGCTTAGCTAGATGCGCGCGCTGCTTGCATTGCATGGCTTGTGAACCATAAAATAAAGTGCATGTGTATTGTCAACATATTCTCTCTAGCTGGCACGAATGGACATGAGTCCACGGGAGAAGCTTGTCACTTTGTGTTGTAGGGCCTCTTAGAAGTGGGGTTACGTGGCTGGGCTACTTAAATTTTGCCAGCTTTTGATGTGGCACCAGATGTATACGGTTTGTATATATGCTCATGCATGTCGAATACCCGCTTCCAAAAGCAAAGGCGCATACTAGCTCACATGTTCTGTCACGGGAGAAGATGATGCGTTGCTCTTTCCGCCTCTTTTGATCGTGCCAGTTCAGCACCGGGTACTAATGTGCTGATGTGATGTCCAATGCGTAAACATTACAATTTTGTAAGTGACTGGTCAGTGCACCTTTTATCCAGGCTGCCACCTCCAGAAAATGATTCAATTGTTGGGCTAACCCCTCCACATGGAGTGAGCTGGCAGCACAATAATCTCAGCTCCATCTAATGGATGGGATATCTCCTTGAGAATTACAGTAATACTCTTTTCTTTTCGGTTTAGAGGGCTTATCTTAATTTTTCCGTTTTTCCAATTTAAAGGGCGCATCTCCATCATCTATTGAGATTCCGAGGCACATTAAATCTTTGCATGCAAGACTTAAAAAGAAACTCACAAATGCATGTAATGTTTCTAGTCATTTAGTGGCTTAATGCATTACTTTAATATGGGTAGTTTTGTAAAGTACGAGATACATTTCTCCACTCATCATCTGCCTTGAATGATGAAATTTCAGATTTGGGCCCTGTAAACCGGAAAGGAGAGGGAGTAATAGGAAAAGAAGACCCCCGACAACCTTTATCATGGTTGAGGGGATGCCACTATGAGAGGAGAGAACACCATAAAGCACTACAACCGACAAAAAAAGGTGGAGAGATGAGTTCGGATAGGCAGTGAAACAGTGTGGAACATTCAAAATTTTGTGAGGAGCCCGTAGAATTGCTTGGCTATAAAAAAACAATCATATATGAGAGTTGCATGTAATTCATTAAGAAGAAAGAGAGTACACCACCCAAGATGACACGGCCCATACATCACCAAAAATGCCGCAACCTGTCAACACTCTCTTGCATCGCCAAAGATGGTGTGGCCTAAACAACACGACGACCCAAGACAATCTGCACTTGAGCAAAGTACAGCACAATACATGAAAAGTGAGAAACCTCCACTGCAAGGGCTTAAACATTAGCCAGTCACAACATGACCCAAAAATGATGTCGGTTGTGACCGAAGCACACGCATCACAAGGACAAAACCGCCTCCAGTCTAAAGCAACACTATTTATGTTGGGGAACGTAGTAATTTCAAAAAATTCCTACGCACACGCAAGATCATGGTGATGCATAGCAACGAGAGGGAAGAGTATCTTCCACGTACCCTCGTAGACCGTAGCGGAAGCGTTATGAGAACGCGGTTGATGTAGTCGAACGTCTTCACGATCCGACCGATCCAAGTACCGAACGCACGGCACCTCCGAGTTCAGCACACGTTTAGCTCGATGACGTCCCACGAACTCCGATCCAGTAGAGCTTCACGGGAGAGTTCCGTCAGCACGACGGCGTGTTGACGGTGATGATGTTGCTACCGACGCAGGGTTTCACCTAAGCACTGCTACGATATGATCGAGGTGGATTATGATGGAGGGGGGCACCGCACACGGCTAAGGGATCAATGATCAACTTGTGTGTCTATGGGGTGCCCCCTTGCCCCCATATATAAAGGAACAAGGAGGAGGGGAACGTAGTAATTTCAAAAAAATTCCTACGTACACGCAAGATCATGGTGATGCATAGCAACGAGAGGGGAGAGTGTTGTCTATGTACCCTCGTAGACCAGAATCGGAAGTGTTGGCACAACGCGGTTGATGTAGTCGTACGTCTTCACGGCCCGACCGATCAAGCACCGAAACTACGACACCTCCGTGTTCTAGCACACGTTCAGCTCGATGACGATCCCCGGACTCTGATCCAGCAAAGTGTCGGGGAAGAGTTCCGTCAGCACGACGGCGTGGTGACGATCTTGATGTTCTACCATCGTAGGGCTTCGCCTAAGCACCGCTACAATATTATCGAGGATTATGGTGGAGGGGGGCACCGCACACGGCTAAGAGAACGATCACGAAGATCAACTTGTTGTCTCTAGAGGTGCCCCCCTGCCCCTGTATATAAAGGAGCAAGGGGGAGAGGCCGGCCGGCCCTTGGGGCGCGCCAAGGAGGGGGGAGTCCTCCTCCTAGTAGGAGTAGGACTCCCCTTTCCTAGTCCAACTAGGAAGAGAGAAGGGTGAAGGAAAGAGAGGGAGAGGGAAAGGGAAAGAGGGGCCGCGCCCCCCTCCCCTAGTCCAATTCGGACTCCCCATGGGAGGGGGCGCGCCACCTCCTGGGCTGCTTCCCTCTCTCTCCTCTCAGGCCCACTAAGGCCCAATACTTTAGCGGGGGGTTCCGGTAACCCTTCCGGCACTCCGGTTTTCTCCGAAATCACCCGAAACACTTCCGGTGTCCGAATATAGCCGTCCAATATATCGATCTTTATGTCTCGACCATTTCGAGACTCCTCGTCATGTCCGTGATCATATCCGGGACTCCGAACAACCTTCGGTACATCAAAATATATAAACTCATAATGAAACTGTAATCGTAACGTTAAGCATGCGGACCCTACGGGTTCGAGAACAATGTAGACATGATCGAGACACGTCTCCGGTCAATAACCAATAGCGGAACCTGGATGCTCATATTGGCTCCTACATATTCTACGAAGATCTTTTATCGGTCAGACCGCATAACAACATACATTGTTCCCTTTGTCATCGGTATGTTATGAAGGAAATATGCCCTAGAGGCAATAATAAAGTTATTATTTATTTCCTTATATCATGATAAAAGTTTATTATTCATGCTAGAATTGTATTAACCGGAAACATAATACATGTGTGAATACATAGACAAACAGAGTGTCACTAGTATGCCTCTACTTGACTAGCTCGTTAATCAAAGATGGTTATGTTTCCTAACCATGGACAAAGAGTTGTTATTTGATTAACGGGATCACATCATTAGTTGAATGATCTGATTGACATGACCCATTCCATTAGCTTAGCACCCGATCGTTTAGTATGTTGCTATTGCTTTCTTCATGACTTATACATGTTACTATGACTATGAGATTATGCAACTCCCGTTTGCCAGAGGAACACTTTGTGTGCTACCAAACGTCACAACGTAACTGGGTGATTATAAAGGAGCTCTACAGGTGTCTCCAAAGGTACATGTTGGGTTGGCGTATTTCGAGATTAGGATTTGTCACTCCGATTGTCGGAGAGGTATCTCTGGGCCCTCTCGGTAATGCACATCACTTAATCCTTGCAAGCATTGCAACTAATGAGTTAGTTGCAGGATGATGTATTACGGAACGAGTAAAGAGACTTGCCGGTAACGAGATTGAACTAGGTATTGAGATACCGACGATCGAATCTCGGGCAAGTAACATACCGATGACAAAGGGAACAACGTATGTTGTTATGCGGTCTGACCGATAAAAGATCTTCGTAGAATATGTAGGAGCCAATATGAGCATCCAGGTTCCGCTATTGGTTATTGACCGGAGACGTGTCTCGGTCATGTCTACATTGTTCTCGAACCCGTAGGGTCCGCACGCTTAAGGTTACGATGACCGTTATATTATGAGTTTATGCATTTTGATGTACCAAAGGTTGTTCGGAGTCCCGGATGTGATCACGGACATGACGAGAAGTCTCGAAATGGTCGAGACATAAAGATTGATATATTGGAAGCCTATGTTTGGATATCGGAAGTGTTCCGGGTGAAATCGGGATTTTACCAGAGTACCAGGAGGTTACCGGAACCCTCCGGGAGGTATATGGGCCTTAGTGGGCCTTAGTGGAAGAGAGGAGAGGTGGCCAGAGATGGGCCGCGCGCCCCTCCCCCCTTGGTCCGAATAGGACAAGGAGAGGGGGCCGGCCCCCTTCCTCCTCTCTCTCCTCTTTTCCCCCCTCCGCGAATCCTATTCCAACTAGGAAAGGGGGGGAGTCCTACTCCCGGAGGGAGTAGGACTCCTCCCGGCGCGCCCTATGATGGCCGGCCGGCCCCCTCCCTTGAGCCTTTATATACGGAGGCAGGGGCACCCCCTAGAGACACAAGTTGATCCACGTGATCATATTCTTAGCCGTGTGCGGTGCCCCCTTCCACCATAGTCCTCGATAATATTGTAGCGGTGCTTAGGCGAAGCCCTGCAATAGTAGTACATCAAGATCGTCACCACGCCGTCGTGCTGGCGGAACTCTTCCCCGACACTTTGCTGGATCGGAGTCCGGGGATCGTCATCGAGCTGAACGTGTGCTAGAACTCGGAGGTGTCGTAGTCTCGGTGCTTGATCGGTCGGGCCGTGAAGACGTACGACTACATCAACCAAGTTAACGCTTCCGTTGTCGATCTACAAGGGTACGTAGATCACACTCTCCCCCTCTTGTTGCTATACATCACCATGATCTTGCGTGTGCGTAGGAAATTTTTTGAAATTACTACGAAACCCATCATGTTACTTGCCCGAGATTCGATCGTCGGTATCTCAATACCTAGTTCAATCTCGTTACCGGCAAGTCTCTTTACTCGTTCCGTAATACATCATCCTGCAACTAACAAATTAGTTACAATGCTT